TCAGCAACGCCAAAATTTACTATTGAGACCGGAATGGTATTGTCATCTGCGTAGATGTCTACTTGAGAACTGATGATGTCAGAAAGACCATTGATAAAGATGAGAAACAGAGTAGGACCCAGGATAGAACCTGGAGGAACACCAGCGAATCGTACGGAATGTACTGGAAGAGAACCCGTTCAGGATAACCTTCATTTCACGGTTAGAAAGAAATGATTGAATTAAATCAAATAATCGTTCTGTAATGCAGTATCCCTGAATCTTACGTAGGAGGCCAGATACTAAACCTAGTCAAACGCCTTCGATATATCTAGAGCAACAGCACGAGATTCACCGTTATTATCAAGATCTTGGAAAAATATTAGTTTATGACCTTAAGCTCATCCGCGCAAGACAGGGAAAAGAGGAAACAATATCGTTTGTCAGAGAAGAGATCGTGGGATGTGAGATGCTTATGTACTTCAGGATTGATTAAAGCGTCGAAGACTTTGCCGAAGAGTGGTAGGAGACTGATTGAAAAAGTAGGTAGATGGATCAGAAGCGTCTTATGAGGATGATCTTCAAGAGGTTGGAAAGTAAGAATCTGCGAGGCAAGAATTGTATAGTTGGCGAGGCCAAAAGTTGAGTCTTTCCTTGCAACTGATGATATAGAGCATTTTGGTGTTTAAAACTAATATTTGTCTCATGTTAATTTTTGTTTAATTTCTGGACAGTCGAATGACTAAAATAAAAAATTATGGAGTTCGGACAATTCGAAAACTGGGAAATTATAATAAACAATAAAGCAGACAGAACTTGTATTTTTGAAATATTTTTTGTATGTATATATATATATATATATATGTATATATATATATGTATATGTGTGTGTGTATATGTGTATATATATGTATATATATATATATATATATATATATATATATATATATATTATGAAGAACTTGGTAATCAGTATGGGTAATTCAAGGAGGATGAAATCCTGAGAGTTCAATGTAAACCCAGAGCTAATATTTAAAAGAAAAATAGACCACTTTAAGGTACCATTATAATAATTTATTTCACCAGAGCCCTTTTAAACAAAAATCTAAATGAATTCAAATATAAAAATATATGTAATTATTTATAAATGTATGTGTATGTAATTTATGTATGAATATGTATAGGTACCTGTGTATATCGCTACATGTGTGTCTATGTGTGTACTTGCGCATGTAAATAAACGTATGTATATATGGGATTTGCATGAAAATGTATGTGATATATATAAGAAGAATGCAAGATCTTTAATATTACCCTCAAATATTATTCCATAATTTAACCTAAACTTTAAGTAAGTAAGATTACCCATATAAAAATATTAACAAATTGAATTCATAAATTAGATTAAAAGTAAAACTAATGAAGATGTTACCGTAACTATTTTTACAATATTAAAAATGTACGATTGGTCGGGTAAACAAACTATTATAATTTAAAAAATTTTTTTAATATGTTCTCTATAAATATGTTAATAAATATAGTATTTAACTTATATTAAATCCCTAAACTATTTGTTTAAAAAAAATTAAATATTTAAATTGATAGCAAACATCAAATTAATTTTTTTTAACATCTAAATTTCTATCAAGCATTAAAAAATCTATTCTTTACATAAAAAAACCCAATTACAGCCTTTTTCTCTTTACCTCCCTCTCCCTTTTCTTTTTTTTTCTTTTACTTTTCTTTTCTCCCTACTCCCTCCCATTTCAATATATCACTTCCGTTAAGTTAAACTTCTAAATAGGTCATGGTCTGGTCATTCCTCCTCCCCCAATACAAAGTATACTTGATAGAGATATAAATTAATCCCTCCTATACTCTACCATGTCTCTTTAAATATCCCTTTTAAAATCTCTCTTAAATTACAAAAACTTACTACCCATCAATTTTAATTTCATTTTTCATTTCATTTCATTTTTGGAAGTGCTATCTGATGATCCGGCGTCCTTTAAAAGGGCTCTGGTGAAATAAATTATTATAATGGTACCTTAAAGGGGTCTGTTTTTCTTTTAAATATATATATATATATATATATATATATATATATATATATATATATATATATATATATATATATATATGCAAAATTATTGCAAAGAACCAACAAGATCTGTCTGCTTAATGTTTTATTATAATTTCCCAGGTTTCAATTGTTATTTTGTAATATAATTTGTATAATTTATATATATATATATATATATATATATATATATATATATTATCAATCATTCATACCAAAGACATATTAGTGAAGGTAATGATATAAATGGCGAGAATACATCTTTGCAAACAAATTTATTAAAATTACATTAACCCACGAACTTCTAGATGAATGTTATGATTCCTGTTTTTAATAAATTCAACTTGTATCAGGTCTTTTTTGCTAGTACTTTCATCTGTTCATACAGATATCATCAGGCATGGAAACTGATTTGTTTTTTTTTTTGATACATCCAAGCAA